ATATTTTTTAAGCTCAGCTCTGATAGAATCCATGATGGTATAACTAAAGTATATATACTACAATCTTTCTTTTTAATAAGGTAATGGTTTTCAATAAGGGCTATAAAATCTAACTTTTAAAAACTGAAATTGCTTAAAACACTCAAAAATTTATTAATGATGAATTACTTAGAAACTTGGGTCAACAGAAAGATTAGACAAGCTGCCACCATGTTTACCAGGCTGATCCTGAGAGTCTGGGAGAATAGAAAGCTTACTACAAATACCAAAATTGCAGTCTATAGAGTATGTCTTGTCAGTATGCTGCTCTACAGCAGTCAGATATGGAATCTCTACTCCAGAGAGATACCTCAGTACCTTTTATCTTCACTGTCTGAGATGCATTCTGAACATCAATTGGTCTAACTGGTTTACCAATGTCATAGTTTTCATCAGTGTCCAGTTACTCAGCCTATACACCCTCTCCAACAGTGCTGGCCTGGACATGTACACTGTATGCCAGATGGGAAGATTACAAAGGTTCTTCTGTACAGGGAACTAGCCACTGGCAAGAGGGGCGACCTCATCTTTGCTTCAAAGATGTCTGCAAAAGAGACATGAGGATGATGGACATGGACATTGAGAGGAAGGAAGATGTTGCCAATGATTGCTTGTGCTTGAAATGCATCTTACACTGATGGCTGGAGTGAAGAGAGGAAGGCTTGATAGAAAGTCCTGTGGACCTGTACAGCCGTAACAGATGCTGCACTGCCATCAGGAGCTGAGGTGTAACTCTTTGGGTGCAGATCCAAATTCCTTAGAGACCGACAGATGCCACATATACTTAGAAAATAAATAAAAAGATCTATTCATAATATGAAATCAGATACTGAAGAAAAAAACAAAAACACACATTATAAGGGACACAAAAGTATACAAGTACCTTTTGTCCAAACAGACTTTAAAACTATTTAATGCCATAAAAACATTAGTAATTATTTTAACAGTTAATTATTAATAAAATAGTATTGATTATAATATTCATTCTATAATATCAGAAATTTTTTTTCTGTTTATATATGTACATTTTTACAAGGCACTATCTCCTTTTCACTGGTAATGTATAAAGCCTAATATGTAAAAACCTAAAGAACCAAATAGGTTATTACAATTAAGATTCCAGTGTTTATAACCACAGTAACTACTACAACACCAGTTATTTAAATATATTCAATAATTACAATTTGACATAAATATCATACTAATTCATGTTACCCAAACCAATAAGAGAAATAATATTTTTACCTACACTTATACTATATCTGATAGTATTCACTAACAAAACCTGACATGATGAAAATTCCCAAAGGTTGCACATAATCAAACAGGGGCAGGGACCAGTGATTCTCAACCTCCGTGCCATGGCACACTAGTGTGCTGCGCAATCCTCTTAAGTGTGCCCCAAAATATTCTCATGGCATTTTATATATATATATATATATATATATATATATATATGTGTGTGTGTGTGTGTGTTTTGAAGTAGTAATGGTACAGTATTAGTATTTGAATAAATTAATAAGTATTAAACTTGTTTGCCAAATAATTCTTTTCACTATTCTTTATGTTATTTTTGAATACTTTGTTTTAATATTCAATTTTTTTTTTTAAAATATTTTATTTTTAATCTTTATCACTCTGTATGTGTACAAAATGTTTACCCTGCCTCTGAAGGAGACTGATCACTGAACAATAGTGTTTTAATTTCATAGTTGTGTCATCATATCCTGCTATAACAACAGAAAACAACTGAGTGGAATTACCAATAAGGTTACTTCAATTGAGAAGACTTAAAAAGTGGAAAGGAAATAATATTAATAATGCAGAGTGCTAAAAGTTAATTTAACTTTTTAAAATTTTCCTTTACTTTAATAAATGAATATTAACTATATATATATATATATATATATATATATATATATATATATATATATATATATATATATATAAAATTGTATTCAACATTGTTTAATTCAAAATTTTTATTTTATTTTTTATAAATCTATGGTTTTACTTCATGACATTTGAATATATACCCTTTAAAAATTTTGCTAAGTGTGCCATGTTTTCATTTGCTCATAGGTGAACTTTTAGTGATGGGACAATACCAATATTTTTACCAATTCTGATACAATTCCCAATACTGTTCTAAATTTCTGATTCCAATATGATTCTGATACCTACAATAATTAAAATTCATTATTTCCAAGCCCCTACAGTTGGTTTGAGAAACTTAATGAACAAAGTACATTTATTAAAAAAACATTTAGTAGAAAAATGAATACAAAATCTTATGAAATAAAGTTAGATATCCTTTTTATTTAAAAAATTGGGTAAGACTTTAAAAAAATAAAAGATAACAATTCCTTGCATCTCATTTGGCTCCAATGAGGAATAAATGAGAAAAAAAGTTCACAATATTTTAAATGCTATAATGTAACACAAGAAAGTTCAATTATGCCAAAGAAAAATATTAGTTTAATAAAATTAAAACACCATTTTTGATGGAAATTAAATTTTACATTTTTTTAATACAAACTTTTGTGTGAAAAAGTATTTTTTCAGGAAACTTCAAAAAAGTTTGTTTATTCTTTAAGAAAAAAAAAAATATCAGCATATTGTGATGAAAACATTCTCCAAATGTAATGAAAATATAGTTTTAGCATCAAGATCTTTGTTATTATTAGTAGGGATAAAAGTATTTCTTGAATATTTAATGAAAATTTTTTTTTTTTTTTTACTCCTTTTTAGAACATTTGAAATTTTGATTAAAAAACTTTTTTTCTTGCGTCAGCATAGCATATTTTAGTCTCTTTTTTGAAGTAACAGACATTGTTTTGGAAATTCTTGCAAAAATCTTTTTTTTTTCTTCCTCAGATTTTAATGAAATTTTCAGCACTTATTCATAAAAGAATGAAATCATATTTGAATTATTTTATTTCATTTTTTAAATTTAGGTAATTTTTTTTTTTGTTACATATGTTACCCACCACATAATTTTATGAAAACTTAAGAAATTTAACATGGTGATTTTAGTGGCTATATTATGAGCAGTATTCTTTAAAGAATTTAAATCAACAATTCTTTTTTTTTTTCAAAAATGAACTGTCTTACTGAAAAACTGTTCTGAATCGAAAAATAAAAAATGCAATTAAACTATGGCATTATTTAACTAGGAGCTTAAAAACAATATTGACTGATGAAAAATGAATTTTTACAAGATTTGTTTTCATTTTTTACAATTTTAAATTGAATAATTTATAAAATTTTAAAATCTTTTAAAATTCATTTTCAATGAGATAACTCTTATAAAATATTGTTATTAGGTAAAACTATATTTACTAGTCATATATCGTAATGCTTATTACAATCTGACGACTAAAAATATTTTTAAAAGAATTTTGCTTTGTTTTTGTATGCGTGATGTACATGCAGAATTTCAAAATATGGATGCCAAAACCTAATGTTATCATTAAAAGGTTAAGTGATTAAAGAGTTTCCCCCCACCGCCTTATGGGGAGGGGGGGATTTAGATCATACTTAGGTGTTATATAAATTTTAGTTTTACAGAGTTTAAAATCAAATATTTATATCTTTTTATCATTAGTACCAGGAGTAGAAAATTAAGTGTTAAACAAAAAAAAAAAAAAAAAAAAAAATCCAATGAATAATTTTTGGAATTGGAAATCAGCTTAAGAATTCTCCAATTCTGATGCCAATTTCCAGAAAAGTTCCAATATTTCTGTTTCTTTATTCCGATTAATTGTCCCAGCACTAGTGCTTTTTTAGAAAGGTTGAGAAACACTGCTCTGGACCATTGACATGTGACCAAGAGGGTACATTGACAACCCCGGACCAATGTTCAATAGCAGAAAATAAGTCATTTTAGTTTGCAACTAATGATAATGCTATTATTAAAAGGATTAGTCCTAAAAGATAACTATAGAACTTAGTTAGACATTTCAAGTGGAAAAAGAAAGAAAGAAAAAACTGGCCACAAAAAAGCACAGCCTATTAATAATTTGTATTGGTATCAGTTCAAAAGCAAAGAATTAAGTTTTCACCAGATGAGTCATACCACCCCCAGTTGAATAGTAGCAATATCAAGTATCAGTAGTAACAGCTAGTGTGATACTATAAATGAAAGATCACAGCATTTATAATTTTTCTAGTAATAAAATATGATATATTGTCATAGAGAACAAACACAATTAAATATTAATGATAAAATATGTTAGTAGTTTTGGGATTTGTAACCTGACTTCATCTTTTTATATACAGTTTTTGAAAGTGCTCAGTAACAAAAATAGTAATTAAAAATACATAGATGATTTTATTATTAAAATATGATGAGTTTTATACAATTAGAAAATATAATACAAACTATTTTTATGACATAAATATATCCTTTGCATTCAAGAGAAGAGGTGTAGTTTTAACTTTTATAAATGTCATGTACTAGGAAATAGTCCTCTTATTTCATTAAAATTGCTTAAAACACATTCAAAAGGTTATCAATGGTGAAACCCTTGTAAAATAAAAGCCTATTCAAAATATGAAATCAGGTAATCAAAAGCTGCACCATCTTAAGGAATACAAAAGTAGATAAGCAAGTTAGCCACCGAAGTCCTGACTGTTAGTCATGCATATTTGGCAAGCAGACGAAATTATAAAAAGAGTGGGTTTTACACTTAATTGATATTATGATACCACTGTTTCAACCATGGAAAGCATGCAGCCCTAAGTATGGTAGCAAAAGAGAGAGAGAAAGAGAGATGACCATAAGACAACTTTCCCCTATATAAATGATATGAAGAGTGCATGAGAGAAAGTGACAGAGAAAATAAAAATAAACAGAAACCCCAACATAGGAACATAAGGGAAAAAAAAAAAATTCAAAAAAATAAACCACATCAAGATGTGGTTGATCAGCACACGTGTTGTACCAACTAAGTCCAGGGTTAACTTAGAAAACTCTTGTTAAAATCGTCTGTTTTACAGTCTGAAAGCAAAAAAAAAAAAGGAGAAAAAGAAGTGTTGAATGCAAAAAAAAGAAATAAAAATTAAAAAATATTAAAAACTGAAAGAAAAAAAAAAGAATGAAAAAAAAATTAAAAAAAAAGAAAAAAAGAAAAACTATAGACAGGGAAAATCTAAATAAATGAACTTTGGAAACCAAAATTAATAAATTTCCTTATTTTATTAAATTTCTGCAATCTTTTAATATTGCTTTATATAGAAGGAAAAACGAATATCAGTGAAGTTGTTAGTTTTTCCATCAGCTGTTGTAACAAGATTTAAAAATAGAATTAAATTTTGATTCTTAAAATTACTTGCTTTGCAAAACCTTAAGTAATTAAGCAATGCCTAGGAGTGAATTTCCTGGAAATAATTTACTAAAATAAACACAGACATTATATATATATATATATATATATATATATATATATATATATATATATATATATATAATTAGTTGTATGGATATGAGTTTGTGATCCTGGGTTTCACACTTTTGCAATCATCAGACAAACTGGTTTATTTTTTAAAAATTGAATCTATTTATGCTTGTTTGTGTCTGATAATGTTTGGTGGTGGGTGGTTGAAATTCTCCTCAGTGTCCATTTGGGATGACACACTCTCTCTCTCACATTCATTCATGCATGCATGCATACATACATACATACATACATGTGTACACATTTTACTCCACACAAACACACCTATATAAACAATCTGAGATTAAGCACAGATACACATCCATGCTTTCAAGCATACATACATACACAATTGTAATTCTATTTCTGTGTCGGGACTGTATTTAATGATGTTCATTCAACAAGGGGCAGGTTGAGGTGTTTTCTACTCCTTTCAGATTGGCCGCCTGCATCGCCAAACAACCTTACACTTCCTCACACACACACACACACACACACACACATATTACCAAACATAATCAAACACAAACAAGCATAAATAGATTCAATTTTTAAAAAATAAACCAGTTTGTCTGATGATCGCAAATGCATGAAACCCTGGATCACAAATTCATATCCATACAACTGAATATGTTAGCACTATCACTAATATTGAGTGCTTTCTAATAAATACTGTGCATATAAAATAAAATATGTGTGTGTGTGTGAATTATATCAACCAAAGAATATTACAAAAATTGCAGCTGCTCCCTCCAAAGACAAAGTTATTTGAATACTGACTTTATTTTTACTCAATTAAAAGATGTATTTATTTTTTCCCCGATATTTTCACAATTTTCTTTTACAACGAAAACAGATTAAAATAATCACAATAGAAAGAAAGTATAACCATGTGTAAGTTTGAGAAGTAACCAAGGCCATGAATCAGTCATCTTGCATAAAATAAAGTTTGCATATATCTCTGCTTTTAAAAGGCAGCTCATCTAAGAGATTTTCTATTAAACTTTTTCTTTTCTTTTTTGAATTGCATTTTTGCTAAGTTTTACCAGTTAAGAATTAAAACTAGAAAGTATAAAATTGGGGAATACTAGATTTAATTGATTTGTTGGATCTTACTAAATGTAAACCAAAAGTGAAAATATGATTTAAAAAGATTTTAGATTGTATAGAAAGGGTAAGCCACATTAGAAACATCAAAGATGTTGCCTAAGATCAAATGAAAGAAAAAAATAGCAATAAAAATTAACATGTTGACTGAAAATATTTGGTAATGTAACAAAATTGGACAAATCATTTCACCCCAAGCAGGTGATAATGCCACTAAGACACAAGTGGATACTGAGAGTAAAAAAAAAAACAAACAAAATAAACAAGAAGACTAGTGAGGAGAAAGGACAATAAAAGAACAGGATTCAGGAAGATAGCAGTTGACATTGCATTTAAATTTTTGAAGATTGTAGGAAGAAAGAAACTGGAAGAGAGTTCCACAACTGAGAAGTGCAAGAAATGAAACTATTAGAATGGAATTTATGGTTATATCTAGCTAATTCAACAGTAAAATGGTGAGACCCAAGTGCCAATCTAGTAGGACACTTAAATTCATGTGGTCAAAAACAATTGCCATGAAAATATTTTTTTTTAGAAAAAGAAGGTGGAAAGCGACATCATGCCAGTGGGAAAGTGACTTAAGTCAAAACGCCAGGTTTGGACCAATTACATTAGATTCTGCTTTGAATTTTGTTGAGAATCTCAATATATATATATATCAGGATCACCAGACCAGATATGGCAGCAAAATTTAATGCCTGGATGAACGATAGATTTATAACTGTATAAAATGGATTCTGACAAGAATAACAGTGTCACAACAGAGTTCACCAACTTTCCTCGCAGTAGAACTAGCAATTGATTCAATATAATTTCTCCACTTTATGATAGTGGAAAAAAAAAAAAAAAATAAGACCAAGAACGTGCAATGAGTTGTTCTCCTGGAGGTTAGCATCAGCCATGCTGATGAAAGACTAAATAGATTCTCTAAGATGATTACAAGGAAGCAGTTCCGTTTTGGAGAGAAATGAAGAGGAGAAATGATTATTTTTTGAATCTTTACAAAGAGATGGTATAATAAAATAAAGCCAATACAATAAATTTGACCATTAAAACCAAAAAAAATTGAAATTAAAAAAAAGAAAGAAATCTCAACTGAAATTTACAAATTTAATTTTTATTATCAAACACGTCGAAAACCCACCTGGCTTCAGACACATCGAAAACCCAACTGGCTTCCTGCTACATAGTGTGTGAAATTAGTTTCATTTGAAAAATACTGTAGTTGATATGTAAAGGACTGCCTAATTAGTATAAGTTACAGGATGGACTATATAAATCCCCAAGTAAGGGTAGAGCAGCTCTTGGTGAGATAAATGACTACCACCGGACTAATAGGAAGAAAATCCCATTTCATAACAAACAAAAGCAGTGTCAGGCATGCCTTGACGGCTAGATGTTAGGAAGCAATGACAGTCGCAACAAATATATTATAAAAAAAAATCATGCTGTAAGGGAACAAAAAAAAAAAGGTTTATGCAAACACACTTTCAAATCACAAACAATTCCCTTTTTTCTTTTAATTGAAATTAATATTTTTCAGAAAACAACACATTTGGGTTAAGATCTCATAAAAATATCTTTAACTTTGAAAGGAAAGTCTACTTTTTTACCAGAACCATATTATAATGTCAGAGTATAGAAATATGGTGGATAAATGCTTGATTTTTTTTGTTCCTAAAACCTTTTTTTCTAAAATCAGCTGTATTCACACAATAATGCATAAGTACTTACATATAAATGTTTAAAGAAACAGAAAAAAAATCATTTGATTATGATGCATATAAAAAATATAAATAGAGATAATAAATAGTATGTGTGTTTATCATGTTGCATTGGATCATTTAATCATTTAGAGTAAAAAAAAAAAATAAAAAAAAATAAAAATCATTTTAAAAATATAACTAATAAAGTCATTGAATAAGTGGTGCAACAATTATTGGTACTAAAATTAAGACTATCAGGGTTCAAATAGGAGGAACAGACTGGATTCTTTAGCCATGAGAAGGCAACCACTTAAGGAGAAGGTCAACTTTGAATTCAAAATGGAAGAAGACAGTGGAAAGCTCCACTAATGTTACAAAAACTGATGACAGTTCAGATATTAAAGAAATGAAAGCTGTGGTGAGCCATGATCACCTACATCATGAGGAATGAGAACATAAAAGTCTTGAAATTATATTAATTTAGAATAGCTTGAAACAAAAGAGAACTGATTTGCATGTGCTATAAGTGCCTTCAGGCTTTAAAAAGTAAATAAATAAAAATTAATTCTGCAAAAGTTTTATTCACTCAATGCATTATTTCCTGTCATACAAATAAATTTCTGCTTTAATAAATTAATATTTAGTGAACAAGGTTTTCCTTTCATTGCAAAAAAAAAAAAAAAAAAAAAAAAAACATTTGTATAGAATTTTCTTTTAAAAGATATTTGTGATTTTTTGTTAAAACATAATTTAAGACTTATGTTAATATGAAATAATTTTCACTGCTTATAAAAATATATATAAATCAGAAACATAGCAGTGTCAAGATTAGAGTTACTCACTGATATTCCAGAAAATGGGTGGGGAGGAAAATATATATCTCAAAGGTGAGTCACTACATGCATTGGAAGAATATTAAACTGTGTATAATGTACCTAAATACTTACATAAAGACAAACATGAAGGGGAAAAAAAAAGCATTTGCAGATAAGGTTACCAGTTTGAGCTACAAGTAGAAAATTGGACTTTTAGATTTGAAAAAGTTTAATACTATTATATTTTCAATAGACATTTTTCTCATTAGTAGCCCTAAAAGTCACAAGTACCAACATTCAAGATTTAGTACCAATAAGCTTTCTAGAATAGCCTAATCTGGTAACCATATTTGAATCTTAGTACCTCCATGTTCCAAATGGGTAAAAATATATTTGCCAATAATTGATTTAAGCTTTAATCTTTCTTAGTTTCTTTTTTTTTTTTAACATAAAGCAGGTAAAAATATTGTCCTTTTCTTTATTGGTTTTGTTTTTTTAAACTTTACTCTTGTATAGATTTGCAGATTAAAAAAAAAAAAAAAAAAAAAAAAAAATCAGCATTAGGAAAACTGAGGATAGAAATAAAAATGAAGGAAAGGAAAAAAATGGTTAAAACAAAACAGGATTAAATTAAAAAAAAAAATTCTATAAATTTAAAACTTCAAGATTATACAAAAGAAAAAACTAATTTTTGTAGCTTCTCATCACTTCCTGCAAATATTTATAATTTTTTTTTTTTGCCAAATCTGAACTAGTATAAAGATCAACCATATGCAGTGCAACCCCACTCCACAACATTATTTCCTTTTATATATATATATATATATATATATATATATATACACACATCTCCCCAACTTACTATCAAATTATTTCAACTTCTTATACTGTTGCTTTCTTATTTCTCTCATTGGTTGAAGCTGCTAAATAGAGAGG